AATTCAAGGAATTCAAGGAATTCTAGAAATTCAAGGAATTCAAGGAATTCAAGGAATTCTAGAAATTCAAGGAATTCAAGGAATTCAAGGAATTCTAGAAATTCAAGGAATTCAAGGAATTCTAGAAATTCAAGGAATTCAAGGAATTCAAGGAATTCTAGAAATTCAAGGAATTCAAGGAATTCTAGAAAATCAAGAAAATCAAGCAGTTCTAGAAACTCTCGAAATTTTCTTGAATTGCTTGATTTTCTCGAATTCCTTGAATTACGTCATAGTCTAAAGTTATCATTCCATATTTGATGTGTCTTTCTTGAATTCCTTCAATTTCCTTGAATTTTCTAAATGGCTTGAGTTTCTTGAGTTTCTTGAATTCCAAGGCAATCTCAAGAGTGAGGGTGAAGGCATCCTCTTCGCGAACATTACACTGGAATTCAAAAAATTCAAGAAAATCAAGGAATTATAGAAATTTTCTTGAATTGCTTGATTTTCTTGAATTCCAAGGCAATCTCAAGAGTGAGGATGAAGGCATCCTCTTCCTAAACATTATACTAGAACTCAAGAAATTCAAGAAATTCAAGAAAATTTCTAGAATTTCTAGAATTGCTTGATTTTCTTGAATTTCAAGGCAATCTCAAGAGTGAGGGTGAAGGCATCCTCTTCCTGAACATTATACTGGAATTCAAGAAAATCGGGCAATTCAAGAAAATTTTTAAAATTTCTAGGATTGCTTGATTTTCTTGAATTCCAGAGCAATCTGGAGAGTGAGGGTGAAGGTATCTTCTTCGTAAACGTATGGTAGAAGTTAGGGAATTCAAGAAAATCAAGCAATTCAGGAAAATTTTTAGAATTTCTAGGATTGCTTGATTTTCTTGAATTCCAGAGCAATCTGGAGAGTGACGGTGAAGGTATCTTCTTCGTAAACGGTATGGTAGAATTTAAGGAATTCAAGAAAATCAAGCAATTCAAGAAAATTTCTCGAATTTCTGGAATTGCTTGATTTTCTTGAATTCCATTGCAATGTAAACTTATGAGTTAGTATTTTATGTGTCTTTCTTGAATTTCTAGAATTTCTTGAATTGCCAATTTGTGGATCGTGGTTTGATCTCTAATCATCATGCTTCTAACTATGACCATTAACCCTAGTACGCTCGTGCTTTTTTACGCACTACAGTAGCAATATACACTTCTTTAAAATTATTTTCTCTATTCTAAGGCCACTATCCTGACAAAAGGATGCTAGTGTTATATCCAATCTGACAGAAAAAAATACTGAGAGTATATTAGTTCTTTATTTCGAACAATTAATACAAAAAATCTGCTTTATACAATGTTCGTTACAAACAAATGCAGAACAATTATAACATTTAGTTGAAGTTTTTCTGTCTTTAGATGTTTCACACATTGAACATCGCTTTCGTTTTCCTTGTGCAGAATCTTCATTTGATTTTCGTGAATTTCCTTTCGCTACAGAATGACCAACAATAGCTAAAGCATTTTGAATATCTTTATGTAGAAATTTTGAGGTTTTTGAACGAAAATCCAACAGAGGTGTTACTAGACTAAGTCCGAGTTCTTCTAAAAATAATCGTCGTTGATATCTCTTATTTCGATTCCATTCTGGATTTTTCGCCTTCCATAAGATAAAAGCATTTAGAGCCGCCATATCTATCATACCGTAGAAAATACAAAGCGGCCACCGCTTTGTACCTCTTTTTACCTACAGATGACAAAATGAAAAGATAAAAAATAAAAATATTTTTTACTGTATATTGTGGCACATTTGATCAACAGTATCAACAGCTCTCTTGGTTTTATTGTAATCCAAAACAATAATTGGTTTTCCAGTCTTATTGTCCACCTGATTATCATGATGTTTCGAAGAAAGTAATAAGACAGCTTTATTTTGTTTTGGTACGAAGGAAACTAAAGTTAAATTATCTTCAAAACCAAAAAGCGAAGAACCAACTTCACGAGTCTTATTTGATAGAAATTCCATAGATATTTCTGATTTATTTTTTCGTAATGTTCCTATAAGAGTAAGATTCTTCGTTTGAAGATTTTTCGCCAATGGAACACTTGTAAAGAAGTTATCCATTGTAACGTTTCTGTTTGAATCATAAAATGGCTTGAGCAATTCTAAAACTACACTTTCACCTATGTGTTTTTGTTTTTCTTGACCTGGTTGTCGTCCAATGTAAGGAAATGCATTCAATACATAATACGACTCTGCATCAACACATAGCCAGAACTTTAATCCATATTTGTCAGGCTTCTTAGGGATAAATTGACGAAATGGACATTTTCCCCAATATCCTAATAATTGTTCGTCGATGGTAAGATCAAGTCCTGGTGTATAACATGTTTTTAATTTATCTTGAAAATCTGACCAAATTTCACGGATTGCTGCAAATTTATCTGCTTGTTTTCTCTCTTCTCTTGTTCTTTTATCATCAAATCTTAGACACGACATAATTTTGTCAAAACGGCTTTTTGAAATAGTAGCTTTGAATATTGGAGATTCCAAAGGACTTGTTCTCCATAAGGATCGTAAATTTCCTTTTGATCTTCCTAATAAACCAGCAAGCAATAATAGTCCAATGGAAGCTTTCAATTCAATCATTGTTATTTCTTCTTTTTCATCTAATCCGGTGTTTCGATCATATTCCATATTTGAATAAATCAAAATTTTCTGCATGATTTTTTCCGACATAAGACAAATGAATGCGTCTTCAATAGATGCAACATTTTCAGTAGACTTGGTTGGTCCAGATTTCTCGATATTATCACTGAAAGATTTTATTTTTGATGAAGTAGACGGAATTGAAGACCAGATCATCCCAGACTTGGAAGTATATGAGCTTTTTCGTGTAGAATCTTCGGTTAATTTAAGATCTTCTAAATCAATTTCATCATCAGCGTCTGATGTTTGACTTTCATCATTTTCTGTTTCTGAACCACTTTGTTCGTCGTTAAAATCGTCAGATTCGCTATCCTCTTCAATCCAATTGTTTATGATCGTTTTTTATAATACAAAAAGAAATCTTAATCTAGAAAATAAAAAAAATGAAGAGATTCTAGATGATAGATGAATATCTTCGATCCAAAATCTAATCGAATGAATCATATATCATCCTAATTGGATAATCCAAAGCCCAATCAATAAATACTTCTATGTAGATTGGAGATAAATATACAGTTAAAATGGTGCATGAGTCTTGAATTTTAATTGAAAATTTAATTTCTTCTCTTGTCTAGTTTTATGTTAAATACTGATGAAATTGTAATTTATTGTATTGAAGGCTTGTAGTGAGATGGAATAGGATAAATCAGTTTCATTTTAGACTACGCAACAGCTATCTATTCATAATAGATGATAAATGATTCCTTAAACCCGAAATTACCAAAATATTATAGTGTATTTCCAAATTTTTATGTCTGGGTCAGAAATGACCCATGTTGGGCGTACTAGGGTTAATTATCACTTCGTACTAAAATTTTGATCTTTCTTAATTATTGCTATAATAATCACTAATGTCTTCAATGTTGCCTCATGTTGGATGATTAATTGCAGTTCATCGACGATTTTCGACACATAAGACAAATGACGATTTCATGCCTACAACATTGGTCAAATGATTACGTAAAGCACGTAATTCGATATCTTTTTGTTATTTATAGTCATTAAAATAATCATTTTCCAAAGAAAAAATGACTCCGAAACTAATACTTTACCTATTAGAGAGTTTGCTCTATCCTGAAGATTCGAACTAAATATGTCTTGTTGGATTCATTTTAACCAGTGCAAAACAATGCATGGTAAATCTCTGTCTGTCGTTCGTTCGAATCATTTCATTTTACTGAACAAACTATTCAAAATTGTACGCAAATATGATATACATAAGCACTCAATCTGATAATAGTTCTCAGTCAATAAAGCTAGTAGAGAACGATCGAGTGGCGCATAAATAATAAATCATCAAAAATTATTAAAAAAATTGAAAGTTTCAATAAATATCAAAAACGTATCTACAGAAATTGTCTTCTCGGGTGATTTCATCGCAATATTGTCACACAATTATTTGAAACCAAGATATGACAATAAAATGGTCGATTTTTACGCACCTGTCAATATATTCAAAATTGTAAATCTAGAATTTTTATGTTTAATGTTTTTAAATGTAAATTAGTCAAACTCCAAGTAATTATTAGGATGATCATTATCTGTAATATCTGCAAATATGACTAAACAGCTTTGAAAAATCGATGTAAGATGCAATGGTTCGATGAAGCACTCAGCTTATTGTCAACAATAAAATATGTGCAATAAATCAAACGATTTCAACTTTATTATCCATTAGATTTTTTTAGATAAAGTTCGTGTGAAATTTTAAGGAAGTGTATTAGCATTTTCAAACTAGTTCACTAATGATCATTGAGGACTGTTTTGAGCAAGCATTTTAGAGTAAGCTCCACGTCGTTGTATTAATTCTGTATGAGTACCACTCTCCACTATGTGTCCTGTATCAAGTACACAAATTAAGTCACATGAACGAATAGTTGAAAGACGATGAGCAATCATAAGTGATGTTCGACTAGGATCTTCTGTTTGTGCTTGCTCAAGAGCTTCTTGTACAACCTATCAGAGAGAAATAAAGATGAAGATTTAGTGGATGAATAGAAAAAAAACTCACTTGTTCATTGTGCGTATCCATGGCACTTGTAGCTTCATCTAAGAGTAATACCTTAGGTCGACGAAGAAGAACCCGAGCAATGGCAATACGTTGCTTCTCACCACCTGACAGAAAGCTGCCTTTCATCCCTACTTTTGTTTCATAACCCTAAAAAAAATATATCATAAAGTAGTCATGACGACATTATATAATTTATTATAGTTTCACTTGAGGCAATTGTTCAATGAATCGATGAATATTAGCTCTACTTGCTGCATTGATAATATCTTCCATTGAAACATTCTCTAGGCCATATGCTATATTTTCAGCAATAGTTAAATCGAACAAAACAGGTTCTTGGCTGACAAGACCAAACTGAGAACGAACCCAATGAAGGTTTAGTTGTCGAATATCTATGCCATCAAGAAGCTAGAATGAGTGGAAAAATCTCAGATGATTATTTAGACTATATATATTGAAGAAACACTAACTATTTGACCACTACTAACATCATAGAATCGTTCCAACAGTTGAATAGCTGTTGATTTTCCACATCCAGATGCACCTATACCGATCATATTATGTAATAAACATTTAAAAGAAATATTTTATTGAAACATACCAACAAGAGCTACACGTTGACCTCATAAATGAATAAAAAATTTTAACATCATGACTAAATTGAAACTGGTCGAGCTTACTTGGCTTGATATTCAATAGAAATTTATTAAGAATAATAGATGTTGGACGAGTTGGATAGACAAATTTGACTTGATCGAATCTTATTTCTCCACGAAAATCAACCTATCGCAATCATATTTTATCCATGGCATTTGCATAATTAAAAGAAAATAGCTATCTTCTACGTGCTCTTACCAATTGTTTTCCTTTAGTAGACATGTTGTCGATAGCTGATTTTCGATCAAATAAATCAATAAACGTTTTGCCAGCAGAGACTGATGCACCGATACGCTGAGACCTAGAATAGAGATGATGAAAGAAAAAGACACAAACTGATGAATAAAAGTATTACATCAATCCGATGAGTTTTAATACTGCCATCAAAAAAACAGCAAAAGCACAGACTCTAATGAAATGAAAATATAATAAAATATTATATCTAGATTATCAAACAGTAGTTTCAATTACGTTATAATACGGTTCGAAGGGAATTCGTTCCTTTCAATAAGAACGAGAACACGCCAATACAAAAAAGCTATAATGTATACATCTAGCGTCCAGCATATACCATATACCATTGAAGATAATATCAAAGGTTTCCAAGACAACCTATGGCAAGATAAAATCAATGAAAAATTTATTCATATATAAGATTTGATGGACCGACTTAAATATTTGATGAATAAATTCAGAGTATTGTCGTAAAACTTCTTTTTCTATTGACAGCTGTTTTATTGTACGCATATTATGAATAACTTCAGTAGCAAGCTGCAGAAGTGGAAGAAAGAATGAATATAGTGCATTTGATATATCAAACAATTCATTGTAAAAGAATTTGCACCACAAAAAAAGTCATAAGCTAAACGTTGATCTTACTGTGCTTGCTGGTTCGAGAATCCGATTTGATTGTTGATGTAGCCATAGATTCAAATGCACATTCCCATAACAGATTATGAATATGATAAAAAGAGGACTACATACGATCATTGTTAATTGCCAACTTATGAAACATCCAAAAACAATGCTGAAAATCGACAGTGCGATACCTTCACAGATGGTTCCTAATCGTAAACCAGTCATCTCTTGAATGGCTGATGCATCAGAAGAAAGACGAGTACAAATCGCACCAGAACTATTTTCCGGTCGGTCGAAATAAGCAACTTCTTGACGAAGAAGACATGCAAAAGCTTTCGAACGAATACGATGCGTCAATTTTGATCCTGCTATGGCAAAAGCTGTGTACTACAAAAAATATTATTAGTTAGTCATAGATAAATTTTCAGAAGCAGCAGTTTACCTGAAAAAAGCGAAGGATCAATGCAATAACACCCATAAGTAAAAATATAAGACTACTAGTCAATACTTGATGATTTCGTTCAGAGTTTGAACAATAATTGAATGCCTATACAGTAAACAAATCAATACAAGTCAAGGTACCTTATAAATATCTTTGCACAATATTTATATGAATGAATTACTCACATTGAGTATTTTAGTAACTAGAAATGCAAACAAAGGTTGAACGGCTCCATTCAGTACACACGCTATACAACCAATTAAGATTGTAATCCATTCAGGACTATTCATTGATAAGAGTCTTAAAATGACAAATCTTCTTGTGAATGACTTTGAGTTATGCTAAACGAGAGATAATTATGGAAGTTTTTTTAATAAATACTTAGATATTATTTATACTTTGTCGACTTCAACAGTTTGAATATCACTGAGTAAACGATAGCGCTCAACTGTAAAAGAAAAAAGACAGAGAAGAGTAAAAACTACTACTGTGACAATATTAACGTACATATTGACTTCTCATCGTCTTCTGTTGCTTTTTGCATGCTCATCATACAATCTTTATCATCATCGATACTTTCAGTTTGTTGACGTTTGACCATTGCTTGGTATTTGCCTCCGTCTCTTTCCATCAATGTTTCATGTGTACCTTGCTCAATTACACTTCCATTATCTAATACATATATTTGATCAGCTTTTCGGATTGTAGTCAAACGATGAGCAATAACAATAGTTGTACGACCTTTAAAGAATATTAAACGAATATGATAGCCAGAGACGCATAATTGTTACCTTTGCATGCTCGATCAAGTGCTTCTTGAACAATTTTTTCGCTAGCATTATCAAGTGCACTTGTTGCTTCATCGAGTAAAAGGAAGGTAGGCTGTTTGACAAGAGCACGAGCTAGTGCAATACGTTGTTTTTCACCACCACTCAACTGTATACCACGTTCACCAACAAGTGTTTCATATTTCTAAACAAAACATAATGATACATAATTATCGATAAAGATGTCTATGTTGTGCAAACATTTGGTAATTGCATGATGAAATTATGTGCATTGGCTTCTTGGGCTGCTTGTTCAATTTCTTCTCGTGTTGCATTTACTTTACCAAAACGAATATTTTCATAAATACTCATACCAAAGAGAATCTATTACCAATGTAAATTAAAAAGAAAATGGAAAAAGAAAAAAATGAAAACACAGCATACGGGTTCTTGACTAACAACTCCAATGTTTTGTCGGAGTTGTTTGATATTGTAGTCTGTTATCGGTCGACCATTGATCATTATTCGACCCGATGAAGGTTCATAGTAACGAAGAAACAGTGATATGCATGTACTTTTTCCTACGAATAAATTATAAATGCACCTTAGATTAATTGAACAGTTTTGTTTTCGAAAAGACTTACCACAGCCACTTGAACCTACAAGTGCAGTTGTCTGACCAACACGAGCCACAAGAGAAAGATTACTCAGAACTGTTACCCCTTCCCGAGATGGATACGTAAAGGCGACATTTTCAAATTCAATATCACCATTGATATCATAAATTGCTTCTGTATCCTCTTGCCATACTTCTTTTTCATTGATACTAGCGTCATTTCCCTATATCATGTGAATAAATAGAAAACATTGATATTCATGTGATATCTCAAGTCATTCATATTTACCTCGTCAAGGAGTCGAAATACCGATGTTGCTGCACCTTGAGCTTCTGAAAACGACTGAAGAAAAGGACCAATAAAACTGAAGAATGTAAAGGCTGTTACGAAGATATTGACGATCTGCATAAAGATAGTAGCCGTATATTCATTTGCATTAGAAGTGATGCTATGGCTTACTCACAATTAGAATATCGCTGATATTTAAAATATGTTGATTCTTCTGTGACATAAGAAGAGAACCAGCGATAAACGCAACGGCATAAACTAAGTAGCCTGTTAGAGATAGCCATCCAGTAAAAAGCCCGAATACTGCACCTTTACGTATAGTACTCCAACGAGTAGGATACAATTCTCTTTCATATCTACATGCAATAAAATTGGAGAATGTTTTATCTCATTATATAAGTAAACTACTCGGTACAAGTCAAAAGTGGTGATGGTGGTAGTAGTTTAATTTATTACAAAAAGTTTAAAGAAACTTTCTCTCAATATTTTATGATAGCAAAAAACGATTTTCTCCATTTCTTTGATGTTTGGTCATTCTTTAGTTTATGTCATAATAGTGGAACTGCAATAAGAGATGTATATTATAAAATGTAACAGTAATATCAGATCATATTTTCTTCTTGGCATACATTCTTTTCTCGACGTTTTCTTTGTTTTTATTCTCCTTCGTTTTTTTATTATTACGATATTCATTGAAGTATGATCAAACATCAGAGAAACGTAGAGCATTTTTTCAGTATTAGAGCGTATAAAGGAAAATTTTTTTTGAGATTTAAAACAAAATTAAGATACCTCCCCTACTACTTCTGATATGTCTTAAATATCTTTTGTATATTTGCTTACCGCTTTTGCTCAAATTTGGTACCATTAAGAGAAAGAACAGTTCTCAATGAACTAAATACTTCTTGAACGATTTGTCCTGCTCTCGAGTATGTGTTTAACTCATTCATTGTTTCCTTAGAAGTGATCTATAACAATGCATTTAGATTTGATAGTTATATTGAACAACATTTCATACCTTAGAAAACACAAATGAACCGCCAAGGATAAAAGGTATGAAGCATAGCATAACCAAAGTCAATTGCCAGTTGACCACGAAAGATATGATCAAAATACTGATGAGAGCGAAAACCATTTCAAGAATTAGTAAGAATTCAAAACCAATGCCTTTCTCGATCTTGTTTATGTTACTGTGCAAGAATTAAATCAAATGAAGTTATTTGATAGACAATATTAGAATGATTTACTCGAATAGTTTAGCATTGAGTTGATTAGTCGATTTGGTATCCATATAAGATATGTTCTACAAACAGAGAAAGGGATAAACAGTCAAAGATGGATTGATTGAACTGAACTTCATCCTAATTCACTCTCTATTTATCGAATTAGTTTTCATCTATATTTTCATAACTGCAGAGCAGCTTCAGCTTTATACTTCTGGAGAATTTCACTGTAACTTTGGCTGTAAAAAGTCATGCTCTAACTGATTTTTTCTAAAAGATTCAATCATTTTACATTTTCTTCAGTGGCGAATGTTTTCCCTGTATGATTCTTTTATTTTTACTTGACAAGTTACTAAGTCAAGAGACATTTTGTTGATGAGTGATAAAGATCTATTAGTTTAAACGTTACTTCAACTCTGACGTAAGATAATGCCAGTTCGATTGAGACTGTACTCTTCAAATATCAAGTTTTATAATGACAGTGGTCTAATAACCGAACACTTCCAGACGACCCCTGTCGATTTTAATAAACTTTCGCCTACAGATACAATATACAATATCAGAAAAAAAACTATAAAATAATATCAGTCCTCATTGAAACATTGGAGGAGCTATTGAATTTTCAAAGCCTCTATTTGCCAAAGACTCTTGTAAGACGCTTGGCGGTCAGAAAAATCGTGGTAGCGTTTTGAAAACTTTTCATCGCAAAAATACGGAGTTTAGAACTCTGAAGTTCTTCCTACAAAATGCTGTATGTGAGACCTTGAAATAGAGACAATTTCAAGAAAAATTTAAAAACACAATTTTTCTGACAACCGGGTTCCTCTACAGGATTCTCTGGTAAATAGCGGTGATACAAGGTCAATAACTCTTTCAAATAGTAATAGAGAATGATATCACTTTAGAGTTTCTACTAGAGTACTACTTAGTATTGAAAGATAATGAATCATTGAAATCAGATGGGGATGTCTTGGGACGTCTTCTAGAAAGGTAACTCAATTTCACTATAAATTTCGTAGATGAATTTGCCTGCTCCGAGTTGAAATGCGTACAACGATCAATTTAATTTCGATGTAACTTGAAAGCAAAATACTCTCAATTTCAATACTTATATATAATCTTTATCTAGACAGGTTTTTCTTATCTAGTGGGTACTCTAGAATCACTAATTTGAGAATGGAGAAGATTTCTTAAATAGAATGGGCACAAGGTGTTACACGTTTTTAGAAACTTTAAGAAGCGATTGGAATGAAGCTTTAGGTAAAATTTCATGTGTTAATAGAAGTTTATTTGACATACGCGTTGAACAAGTGATCGAAAGAGGGAAATATTCATACGAAATATCTGTCGTTTCGCAGTAATGGTCCAAATAAAATATGCCATCGAGCTGGCCACAAATAGGACAGGACCAATAACTACATTGGCAAAGAAAAAATAGAGAACAACTTTCGTTATCTGGTATAATCAAAGTACTACATTCATTTAACTTACTGAATAACCAATGAATATAATTCATAACTTGTTCTCGCAATGAAGGCATTAACGTAGCTAAAGTTGATAACAAAATCACATCATTATTATCGCGTAGTCTAAGATGAAAAGTGCACAAGGAAAACAAAAGAAGCACATGGTAACTAATAATCGTTTTTATTTTCGTACTTGTTCGACAGAATATTGTTTAATACACTGAGCTCAATATCTAAAAGATATGTTTTGTTATCTTTAATAGATGCAATTGATTTTCGTCCTTGATGTTCACAATTATGACCAAATGATTCAACAGCAAATAAACCTGTAAGCCGACCGTAGAGAACTAGATTATTGAGAATAGCACACGCCTGTAGCACTATTAGACATATTGAAATTAACATGAGGATATAATCGATACCACATGCAAACCGAAACTACAATAAAATCGAATACATCTATTAGTTTGTATTTTGTCGAAATACACTTACCAACTTAAGAACACCAACTACTTCATTTTTGTCATTATGTTCAGTATCATCATCTAGTTTCATGTATTCATTATCGTTCTTTTTTCTACTGAAGCATCTGCGCCAATCAGAAAAGCTATGAAAAATGATAAGTTCATGATATTTTGCTCGAAGTTAATTGTTTATTGGATCATACCTATTATGCAAGAATTGCTTCTTGTTTACATTACTTTCATTATCGTCATCAATAGAAAATCTATTGGATGCATTTATCAGAGGTTGTCTATTGCTCATTTAATTTTTTTTTAAATAAGATTGTTATGAAAAAGATGGGAGGTAGATTTGTATATATTCTTTGGTGAAAGTTGACACTAAATGATGTTTGCTTGCTCATGCGCTTCATGTGTTTACTTTTCTTTGTTATTATATGCAATCATGTGTGTAGCCCAACAATGATCGAATGAAGAATAATCATATATTCAAGAGAGTATCTCTATTTGTTCTACGAGATATTACTTGATAGAAAGTGTCTGGATGCCGACCACATATTCGATCAATACCACTGATTTCAAAAAAAAATCGTCTCTTTGTAGCTCTTCATGCGTTGTAAAATCGCGAAAAAATGTCGATTTGATGATGAAAATGATATTGGATTAAATATAAGAAAATGTCCGACAGGTAAACTAATATTTTATAGATCTTCTTTTTTGTTTTTCTTAATGAATTTTTCATAGAAACAGTTTGTGATGATAATCAATGTCGACCATTACTAACATTTCAAAAAAAAAATATATATATATATGAAAAATTACGAAATGAATCGTTTTTATCTTCAACACCATCAATGTTGTGTTTATTTTCATCACCAGCAATAGAAATTCATTCAATGACAACAAGTTTTATTTGTATTTTAATTATAATAACTATTGTTAGTCTACTATGTTTTATTCTTATTATATTTATTATTGTAATGCTTATTAAAACATCTCGATGTCGTTTATTATCATCATCAGAAGATAGTTTCATCATCATCATCATTTACACAATCAACATCAATGGCTATATCAACTGATTATACACAACATTATAAAAATTATCTAATAACAAGGCCGACATTCATTCATGGTATTATTGCATAAACAAATTTATCACCACGTTTTCATCGACAATATCAACGACTCGGTAAAAGACAATGACGAACATCATTGCAAATATAATCACTATTATTATCATGTGTCGATACATTTATTTATCATGGATTATTGACAACAAATAAATGTGATAATAACAATCATAATTATACAAAAAAACGTAATCATCTACCGACCATAACCCATTTACAAAATGGAGATGTTTTTATTTCAGCTTAGAACATATTTTCTTTTTTTTTGTTTAAGAATCATTTTATGTAATTGATCTTTAAAAAACTTTAAAAAACCATTATTTAAATGTTTTTATAAAGAAAACTTTTTAATCTCAAAATAAAAAGTATCCCGTAGTGTATCGATAAATACACCAATTACTTCTCATATACAAATACGATGAAAGAGAAGAAAGACGCAAAAAAAAAATTTTTTTTTTTCATCCTGTTTCCCATGTTATCATTGTATTGCTAAGAGAAGAAGAAAAACATCAAATCACACATGTATTGTTTACAACACTTGAATAATCTTTTGTTTTCTTCGGTTGATGATGTAAAACAAATCTATTTGCCGGCAAGTTTAGCATTAACTGTTCTATATTTTCTATTTTTTTTCTTTCTATATTCAATTGTTCTATTTCAAAAATATCGAAATGGATTCTCACAATTCCAATTATTATCTGTCTACTTTTTATTGCAACTTATCAACCTTTTTGTAATGTACGGGTATTTAATACATGTATTGCAAGTTTTGGAATTTATTATGCACAAAAAACATGTGAATGGATGTTAATTCGACGAAAAGAATTTCATTGCTGATCTTTTTTTTTATATTCAACATGAATTATTCTTTTATCGCGTTTATACATTACCTTTATGTGTTAAAAAATTTAAGAAAAAGAAAAAAGAAATTATTTTTACTGAACATATAATATATGATATACATTTCAAATCATTAATATATATATCATGTAAAATAATTCAACATTATCTACTCATTGATCTTTTCATTTTTTCCATAAATGAAGCTTTTAGTACTGATTTCTATCAGAAATATTATAAAAAATTTCTGTTAATACAAATTATTGTGAATCAATCAAGTGGTTGTATGGTATATCTCCTGTTTATGTTTAATTATGACATACTTTGATATGTACTTTGGTTGATATTTAATTGACCTCTGAGATTAATGCCCGAACTATTTCAACAACCGTATCGAGCTGTATTATCTGCTGATTTTTGGTCAAGATAGCATCAAATGTAAGTAATAAAGAAAATAAGAATTTTTTTTTTCACTATATAATATGAACCCATTATTTAGAGTTTTGAAAAAAGTATAATCAAACTTTTTTTTTCTATTTGATATAATTATGTCTCGAATATAATATCCTAATAGATCATTCAAAGCTTTAAAAACAAAATTGAATTTTTCAAATGATTTACTCAGTGTGTCAAATAATTATTGGTTCGCCTCCGATGGTTTTTTCTTCTTGTACTTGTATTGTAAGAACAGACTTAGGTACTCCTATGAGCAGTGCCTTGTAGCATGTCACCTCTAATAAACATGCTATTATTTTCAGCTTTGTATTTCTTTTAATCGTTGTTTTGCTGACAAATAAACCAACAATATAGATTTTCCGTAAAAAAAATTATTGTTTCATACAGAGAAAATATCTATTTTATTGTACGAAAGGCCTAGTAATTACTGAATTATTTATCAGAATGTTCTGAAATATTTAATTACACCTTAAATATACAACTGACTTGTTAACCAAACTAAATGTATGCGAAGATCCTGAGGAATTTAGTGATTAAACATCAACAGAGTAGTGATTTACTAAGTAAAATTGTAGCAAAACGTCCATATTGAAGCCAAATTACTTGTCTAAAGGCATTGAAATATTGTATGTCTTGACGTGTGCCATGAACAAATATTTCTATCAAGATGTTTTGGTAAAAAATCTATTGACATCAATCAAAGAATTTAAACTGGACCAATCAATGCCTTTCTATGCAAAATTATCATCCTAAATACATCTCAGGACTCATAAAAGACGAGAAGGAAAATGGATAGAACACTGCCTGCCTTAACTATCTTATTCACTAGATCTTCGTCTTGTAGAGAATTTAATCAAATCCCACGCTAATCATTCCGTCAGATTTCTATTGGGAATCTTGGGAAGATTGTAGGAAATAGAAAGCAGGAATTCAATGCCTTGATCTAAAATGAGATTCAACATCGCATTATCCAACAGAATACTAAATATGGTTGAACTAGTTTTTCTTGTTTGACCAACTAGATCAATATATCATTTTTCGCTGTGAAAAATTGAAATGCTTTTGCTAATATTTTCGTAAAATATAATTTGAGAGAAATCAGAAGATGAAAGTAATGGTATATAGACTAGAGATGTCGTGTTGCAAGGTATTGCTTAAAGAAATTGTCAAGCTTTTTTTATCAGAGTTAGAAAAGAAAAAAACTAAATACAATTATATGTAGTATGAAGTTGATATATTTACCGCCTATTTCTTTGTTTAGCAATTCGTTTGTCTTATTTATAAATGGCTTCACCAAGATCTACCGATTCTTCCTTTTACTCTTCATCAAAAAGTAGCTTATTTATCTATGCCATTTTTAACATTTATGGTATACCTGTGCCGACATATATCAGTTTTGCTTTCATTTAACTAATGTCCGTTATGGACATGTAAGTCTTTATAAGTGTTTTTTATTTCTTTGATAGTCAATTAGCCTTTTTACAATAACATTGTAAACATTACTGGTAGAAATCATTTAAGACATAATTGATCGCTTAAGATCTAAAGATATTCATATTTAAATACAGGTTTTATACATTTGTATAATCTATACAAATGTTCATTTGTTATTGTAATATCTAGATCGCCGAAAATATACTTTTTCTTTGATCAACATGATTAAGACTATTTTTAAATTAAGAATTTTTTTTAATTTTCAATCTGGAACAAATGTTGCATGCGTATCATAAAGTTCTGTATGAAAAATGCGAAACTTTCAAAGTTAACTAACAAACTGATTGTTTTTCGAATGAATCTTTTACATAAATCTCCTTTTCGACATGTTCAATATCTATGTGTATTGAAGAATTTCTATAAGCTAGTTTATTTCTTATGCCAGTTTTTCTATCTTTTGAAATCTATCGAAAGAGGTGTATTAAAATAAAAAAATGATTAATAAGAATATTGATATAAATTTATCTTTTATTCTTTTTTCTTTTAACATCACTATGACATGATCAATTCTTAGTCATATTACTATTAAACGAAAATATGTAGGACAAGTAATGAAAAAACAAAATGTAAGAGATGCAAATTTGAGATAAATTAATGTTAAAATAATATTCTCTTATGAATCTTGATCGAATATTGAATAAAACTATTTTAATAACAGTGATTTATAAAGAAAGAAGAAACTTTTCTATTGACTTATTTTGAGTAATAATCATAATGCAAGTAATCAAGAGAAAAAGAGACCTTTTTTTCGCATCTGTCTTTCTGTCATTAATAGTGACCTATTTTCTTGTTACTTTAGTCGTTCTCTTTGCCTCTCTGCCTTTTTTTTTCGTCAGTGATAAAATAACGTTAACGACTTTTTTATAAGACATTCTTCATATAGAACGCATAAAAACCTTAAATATGAAAAAAGAGGAAAGACTGAAAAACAACGATGATAGCAACTACATAGTCAATGCGCTTTACATTGTTTTCCTCTTACTTTTGAGTGACACGATTCTTTTCTAAAGAAAAATTTATCCAACGTATGTTCTTTGAGAGTATCATGTGACAATTCAATTCGTTTTTCTACTTTTTTTTCAGATCTATGATAAAATGTAAAACAGTATTAGAAGATATAAAACGAAGTTCTTTTTAAATTATAAAATCAATAAATTGACAATAAGAAAAAAACATTTGCTATGCTTATAATCTTGATGTTTATTCAAGTGATTAATTGAGAAGGATTAGTTGATTATTTAGATTAAAAAAAAATCGATGTCTCGAACAAGAGAAGAAAATTTTTCATGAACATCAGTACCAATAGGTGATCATCAAGGAATAGAAGGTTCAAAATCTGTTGATTCATTGTCGATTAATCATGAATATTCTTTTAAGCAAGGTAACAAAGTTGGTTTTATTTTATTTCTGCTTTTATTAAAATTTTTGTTTTTTTTTCTTTTCAGAATTGATCAATATTCCAATGCGAGCGAAATATGAAATTTTTAACAATCGATCTCAATTACTTTTTACTGCATATGAAGGTAGATTATATTTTGATAAAGATATTTTAACAATATTTATTGAAAATATTTTATTAAAGAATCAGATCTATTTCAACGTATTTGTTGTAGAAATGAGCGACAATTTACAATGCGTGTTCTCGACAATAATGATCGAGTAATTCGAGATTAAAACTTGGTTTTTTATATTTTCAAAATTAAATTTTGTCGAATTGTTTAGGAATTCATAAGAATTCATCGTGAATTACAAGCTTGTTCAGGATGTTTTTGTTTTGGAAGTTGTCAAAGTTGTATGCAACAAGCAACTGTTGCATCACCACCAGGACAAATCATTGGTACTGTTGAACAACAGTAAGAAAATTCTTAAATTGATAAATATTTTCATTTTGTTAATATTATTATGTTTTTGTTTTTGAAAAGAGGAAGTGCATCTAGTATGAAATATACTCTTAAAGATGTTAATAATCAATCAATATTAACAATAATCGGTCCATGTTGCATTGTTAATGGACCTTATTCTTGTGGTTGTCAAAATACATACACTATAAGAAAAACTTTATTTGAAAGACTTAATTCATAAAAAAGACATTCGATAGAAAATAATACTTAGAATAAATTAATATTAATTATAGTGATGAAAAAACATTCTCTATTTATTTCATTGACAGCTGTTGGCGACCGACCAAAGTACAGAAATTGGAGCGATTAACAAAGAATATTTTGGAAGTATGAAAATAAATTTAGCAAATCCTGTTGCTTTTACATTGAATTGTAAGTAGATAAACAATTTATTAAAAAGAAAAAAAAAGAAAAGAAATTTTAGTTCCATTGAATCTTGACGTTCAAATGAAAATTCTTGCTCTTGCAGCTGTTTTTCTTATTGTAAGTTTTTATTTTGAATTTATTAACAATTATTTTCGTTGAATAAATATTTTATGTTCAGGACATCAGCAATTATACCTTAGTCCATTTACGTAACTAACCTTGAATATTTCAATGATTTTATTCTATTGAATCAATTGAATAGATTTATGTTTATTTATCTCATTTATTCATTTCACTGTCTCTATACTTTCTTTTTTTTAACTTAAACTTCTTATTAAATTATTGAAAGGGAAATTTCAATGGATGAGTTTTTTTTTGTATATAAAATGGACGTGTTTCTATTCTTATGATAAATCTCAACTTGATTTTAATTTTGACTAATAAAGTTTATGAAAAAATATCTGAAAAAAAGAATTTGAATCGATTATGAAATTTTAATTATTATCTGATTTATTTTGAAAGAGATTTTCGTTTTGATGAATTATAATCTCATAGAGTTGTAATTGTCAAAAAAAGAAAAAGAATTCATTGAAATTCTCATTGTCAAGAGTTCAAACTGATTTATGAAAATTTCTTATCAAGTTAACTTATTATGTTTATGTTTAATTTTAATAAAAGTCAAACTATAATTGAATTTGAATTTACAAATACGAAAATTGAAAAACTTTATAAATTTAATTATGAAACAAGAAATTCCATAAAGAATCTTTTTCATTGAATGGTATTCATTCATTTATTTTTGTCTAGATTTTTAACTTTTTATATATGAACGGAAAATTAAAAAATAAAAGTTTCTCGTTTTCAGTTGATATTTGTTATTAATCATTAAATCTCTTATTCATTTTTAATAAAAATCTTTGATTTACCAATAGAAAAAAAAACAAAGTCGATAATTAACTTCTTAAAATATTTGAGTGAACGGCTGGATATATTTCAAATATTTATAATTCAATGAGATTGATTGTTTTCTTTGTTAATTTATTTCGAGACTTTATTTTTCTTTCTGCAAATTTCGATTTTCGAAAGAAAATTCTATCGGATATTTCTTGATTATCTTTTAAAAAGAAGATGAAATTAACTTTTAAAGATCAGTTTAAATTAACTGACAAGATGACACAAATGATGAAAAGATCAATAAAAGAAAAAAGTTAAAGTATTTTCTATATGAAGAAAAACGAAATTTTAATGATAAATTTAGAAATTGTAAGAAGAAAACTACACAATGCTAATATAGTTTGATTATGCGCTTGTATAGTAGAGATCGAGTACTATATATATATACACATCTGTTTAAAATGAAAAACAATAGAATCTAAAATACAATAAAAAACAAACTTCAATGGTAAGAAAAAAATGACATTATTTTTATAAGATACTTTCATGGTCAGACAAAGTTCCATAGTTGGTTTCTCAGTTGCATTCTTAGATGAAAAATTTCATCGTATCATAAATAAAGAGTCATCCGAGAATCGAATCTTGACATAAAACTTTTCAAGACAAAATTTCATGATGAACATTTTTCAAATAGAGAAATCTTCGTGATTAGTTAGTTCGAATAAAAATAAAATCTTATTTACATCAATATTACGTAATGAATTTGATTGTATTTAAAAAAGAACGTTCGATTGTTTAGATACGAAAATTAAAAATGTTGTTATCGAATTTCAGACAAAGACATAATTTATAAATTCATGTTCGGTTTCTCGCACCGAGAAAATGTTTCGTTCTTGTCAATTCATATTTTATAATTTATTCTCAATCATATTTATTGATCATCAATTAACTTCAGTTCGCGCACAAAAACACATACCGCATTTTTAGTTTTTGTCAAGAAGGAAAATGGTCATGAATATTGAAAATTCTCGAGATTGTTCGAATAATCAATGTCACCAGCGTTTATTTCGATTCTGTGTTATCATATTGAAATCTCTCAAATAATATGCGTCAATATGGTTCTCCCGAATTTGGTCGAAAGTAAAAATGTCGACAATAAAAATGGCGAAAAAGAAAAATGTCGAAAATAAAAAGTGTGTGGGTGTGGGTCTGGGTGTGTGGTTATAAAAGAATTAAAGATTCACATCCACACCCACTCACAATGCCCGTAAAAGGTCACCGTAAACCACTAGTGTAACAATACGGCGACTATATACTTTGCTCGGCAAACACCGTTAGATATCGTATACTTCAACTGTTCGTGGTAGCCGTTTACAACAGTCGTAGATGCTATTTTACGACATATTACGGCCATTATAAACGATGCCCGTAGAATGCCGCCGTGAACGACTTCCGTAGCAATACGGCAACTGTATACATTCATTGGAAAATATGGAAACGCATCGTCTGTGTCCACTGTAACTGGCCTGATAGAGAACCATTATTTTTTGGATTAAAATCCATTTCTGTGTATCAACAATTCGATGGAAAAATCGAATTGTTTCAGTCTTTCTGAGACATTGTCCACCACATATATATGAATGCGGCACAGGTTACAGTTCGTTCGAGTCATAGCACAGGTAGCAGTAACATGCATTAAACATCCGATTACAATCAGATTTTTACAGTCTTTTTCATATTACGCCGATTGCAAGTCGCCAGTGCAAATAGCAATTCTTTCTGGCTGTCGACAAACTAAAGCTACTCTAAAGGATTCATGATCTATTCCAATTCACGACTCACAGCACTGAATCCGATTTCTCAACAATACGAAAGCCAGAGCTACTCATATTTAGGTAATTTCGAAGAGAACCCTCGGTGCTCCAGGATCGACCCAAACATGATTAATAGCTGTTTTGATAACACGAACGAACAGTCACCCTCAAACATCATTAATAACTGTCTTCGTAACAAATCCCACAAGCGACCCTCAAATCTCATTGGTCCATTTTAATTCACCAATCAGATTGCGAGATTCAAGTTCTCAGCTATAGATAAGGAGAGACCCCACACACATACCCCTCATTCGATAGAGCGACCTCGATAACCCTAGAACCAACCCGAACATGACTAGGTATTGTCCTTATAATAAGCAAGAAAAGTTCTACTGAATTGTGATTGGTCCATAACAGTATACGATAGTACATCGTATACGGTCGTATCTGGTCATCGCAATGCTCGACCTGGGTAATATTCTCAATGCTGCATTAGCAACATTGTATAAAAGTGGCTCAA